AAAAAATTAAAAATGATAAATAATTAGCCTAGAGTAGACTAATAATTCGAATTGATCGGAAAGCTGCCCAGGAAGCCGAGAAGCCACTAGAGATAACAGGCCTTTTCGGGCCGGAAACTGGCCAACAATCACGCTGCCCAAAATTGATGATTCAGAAAAAGATGGCCACCTTTTTCGTTTTTATTTATTCTTTTCGTTACAGTTGTGTTTTTTGCTTGGCAGTTCAGCTAAAGATCGATAAATCTGGTTTTTAAATCTATTAGAAAGTTCTAAAGAAAATTGTGAAAATTCAATTTTACCAATTTGATTGAATTTTTGCCTTTTTCAACATCTTTTGGGGTTACAGTATTTTCTGGATGCCAGTCAGGACAAAAATAAATAAAATAGGCCTCTAGAAAGCTCAGAAAATCAAGAAAAAGCTCAAAACAATACGAAAATGATTCATAAGGACACGCCTTTCCCCCGCTTCCCCCGCTAGTCGTTTTGCATTTTATTGCCTTTTTCGCGAGGCGCCGATATTTTGACAGCCAGAGAGACGGAGAGAGAGACAAATAAACAGGCGAGAAAAGCAGCGAGAAAAATTTATAGTACGTCACTGTACTAATTACTATACAGTAAGCCCGAAACCGCTCAAAAATTCCTCAAGAATCTCTGCTAGCCTGCCCTGTACTCCAAATTGTAGTCCGTAGTCCATTTTGTTGCCTGTACTTTGTAGTCGCCAAAACTCACCCTAATTTCAACATAATCCATCGAGAATCGAACGAGACTGAGCGCGTCGAGCGGCTTCTCCTTTGACATCCTAAAACGAGAGAAAGAAAACGGTAAAGAAAAACGAATTTCCAAAAAACTCGTGAACCGTGGCCAAGTGGTTAGAGACCTTGCCTACCAATCTGACGACCCGGGTTCGACTCCCGGTCGCGGCTGTGTTTTTGCTTTTTGCTCCAAACTTTCAGCAATGGTTAAGTGGCAGCCAGTAAAGCGGGAGAGAGCCAGAGAGAGAGAGAGCGAGAGTGAGAGAGAGAAAGAGAGAGAGAGAGAGAGAGAGAGAGAGAGAGAGAAACTGATCGCAGTACAAACGAAACCAACCTAAAAATTCCCAAAATCGGCCACCGGCTCGCGAATTTCCGTTCCGAGTTTCCGTTTTTCCGGTACAGCCCCTCCGCTCGGTTTCGGGGACCACTTGAACGCCTCCCCCCAGGCCAACGCCAGCCATAACAGTCGTATTTTCACTTTTACGAGGATTTTGGGGATTTTTTGGAAATTGTATTGTAATCAGGTGGTAGTTTGTAGCCCAGCTGAATCATTAGTCTGTAGTCTAGGCAAATTGGTAGTGTGACTTCCAGCTTACTTTTTAGTCTGTAGCCCACTTCATTTTGTAGCCTGTAGCCCCGTTAAATTTGTAGTCTGGAGTCTGACTATCAGTGCGACTTGTAGTCTGTAGGCCAGTTTCGCGTGGAGTCTGTATTCGAGCCCAGCTGGTAGTTTGTAGCCTGTATCTTGTAGCCAATAGTTGTAGTCTGTAGTCAAGCCACAAAGTTAATTTCTTTATTAACTTAAAAATAAGTTAAGTTAAGCGAGAGAGCGGAGGAGAGGTGAGAGGGAGAGAGGGCAGACAGCTAGAGACAGCGAGAAAGGGGACAGACTAGCAGAGAACATTGGCGGAATAAAGCGATGGTGAGGGGGAGAGAGGGCAGAGCATGGATTGTGTGGTCTGTAGCCTGTAGTCGGGGGCACTTCAGGTCATCAGATAGCGGCGTGTACGTGTAGTTTGTAGTCTCGAGGGTGGATGGGTTGTAGTTTGTAGCCTGTAGCCTGTAGTTTGTAGTGGACCCGGAGGGCAGCTGGCCAGCTATTCGCCTTAAAATCGATTTTGTAGTTTGTAATTTGTAGGTTGGAGGTTTTATTTTGTAGTCTAAGCTAGATTTTGTAGCTTGTAGCTTTGCAATCGTCTAACTGGCTGCCAGATAGTTAAATTCAGTTAGAAATATGCAATTTTATAGTCTGTAGCCTGAATTTTCGACCCAACCCCCAATCCGATAGCAGCTCTTTTAGGGTCTGTGTTTTGTAGCCCAGCCCAAATTCGTAGTCTAGACACCGGCTATAGCTTAACTGGCATCCAAACTACCCATTGTAGCCTGTAGTCTGTAGCCAACACCTTTCTCTCCCTCGCTGTCCCCGCTCGGCTTGCCCTGCTCGGTGACGTGCTGGACGTCCTCGCCCGCGGGCATCTCCACCACCTTGGCCCGGCCGTACCCTGAAGACGTATTTTTTAGTCTGTAGTCTGTAGCCCTACCAAGACCGGCGGGCATCCCCAACTGGCCCTCCTCGACGAGCCGGGCCACCATCCGGGACACCTCCGCGAAACGGGCGTCGTCCACCTAGGGGGGTATTCTATAGGTTGTAGTCTGTAGCCTGGGTGTCAGTTTGTAGTTTGGAGGGCAGACTACAGACTACAAAGCGACAAGTCGCGAAATTTTCCTCAAAATTATAATTTTTGAGCAACAAGTAGAAATTCGGCATATTTTTAGAATTTGTAGTTTGTAGTCAGTAGCCCGGGTTCCAGTTTGTAGTCTGGCAGCCAGACTAAGAACTCTAGTATTTTTATCTTTCGAAATTTCCATACAAAACGGTATTAGAGTTGCGAAACGGAATCAGGTACCCCAGTCAGGCTACAGACTACAAACTACAGTACCTCATCGTCGGTGGCGGTCACCCCTCCCTCGGCTTCAGGCTTCGACAGCATCAGAGCGCGAACTTGAGACGATTTTGAGAATGAATTTTCGCCCGGAAATCCCCGGATTTTATAGTCCGAATTACCTATGCTAATTGGTTAGACCTATTCCCGGTTTTTGGAATTTGCAGTTTATTCTAATTTATAAGATGCTAACTGGCTACCAGTAAAGCCATTCAGCAACCATTTTCGAAAATGTAGCCGATTTTGACTGTTATCCGAGGGGTCGAGGGTTCGATACCAGGGACCTACAAACTTTTTGCTTTTTGCTCGGGTGATCGATTTTTGGGTGCACCAATTGGTAGAGTGACCAGATATCCAAAAATCAAAGCTTGAACTCCATTCCCCGATTCCATAGCGCTCCAAATGACGTGCCCGGGGACGGCAACATTCAAGCCAAAAAAGGGGCGTGGCCAATTTCCGGGGGGAGCTTCTTCATCTCTTGCTTAGGCCTTTTCTTTTCCGTGTCGATGGCTAATTAGTTGCGAATTTGCTGCGTTTCGTCATGAGCTCCGTTTTTCTCTCTATCTCTCGCTCACTCTGTCTTGCTCTCGCTCTCTCGCCCTCGAATTCTCTCCTTTCTCGTGCTATTGCGCAACTGGGTGTCAGTTTGCTGTATTCTGGTCCTTATATGGCTGGAGGGTGTTTAATTATGCTTCTCTGCCTCTCTCTCCCTCTCTCTCTCTCGCTCTCTCTCTCTCTGGCTCTCTCTTCCCTTTCATCCCCTCACGCCGCATAATTAATCAGGCGGCGCCAAGAATCCAAAAACTCTAATCGATTTCATTGTTTCCGCAATATTCTCAGCTCGCTTGCCCTTTTAATTCCATGTCGTGATCGATTCGATTTTCCTCAATGTTCTCTGCTCGTTCTCTCCTCATTCTCGCCTCTAAAGGGAGCGTGACCGCAAGAAATCTTCCCCTTTTCAAGCCGTCCAAATGCCCGATGGCCTATCGGCGAGAATGGAAATGGTCGAGCTGAACCTTCGGCATGTCCCAATGTCGATCGTCGATCTGTTCTCCTTCTTAATGGCCCTCATCCTCTATATATCCATCATTATTGCGGCCACTACGATACGGGAGAGGTCGGTGGCATTTGGTGTAGTTTGTAGTCTAGCGTTTAGCGATTGTAGTTTGTAGTTTGTAGCCTAGAGGTTATAATTTTTTCGCAAATCACTGAACTGTATGCCAGATAGGGGGAATTCGTAGTCCATAACCGAAAAAAATCGAATTTGTATTTTGTAGCCCGCCTGACCCCGATTCAGGCACCCTTACGAAATTTTGTAGTTTGTTGTCTGGACATTATAGTTTTTTCAGAAATCGCTGGGATAGCTGTCAGTTGAGATATATTAATAGTTTGTGGTCGAAAATTTTGATGTTTGTAGTTTCTAGCCCAACCCCGTCCATTTTCAGGTACAAACACACGATAATGGCCTTCTGCGCGGTGTCGATCTGGTCCCTCTCCAGCAATATTATCATGCACTCGCTATTTTTATCTACGGTGGCGAGTGGCAGATTAGTAGTAAGTTTTTATTGAAATAAAAAACAAAAAATGCAAAAAAAAACCAAAAAAATTTAATTTTTTGGTTATTATTTTTTTGTAATTTGTAATTTTCAGTTTTAATTTTGCATTTTTCCAGGTGAGCGTGGAGTCGTGTTCAATCGCGCGTAAAATGCTGTGGGTCCCCTCATCCGGGCAGCTGTGCCTGTTGGCGCTTGATCGGTACATGACAGTTTGCAGGCAAAGCCCGATTCCTGTCAAGAGGTACTGTATGCCTACTGTAATTTTATGCCGACAAAACAGTCCTTGAAAAACGCTATAAAATGAGCTAAAAATCATGAAAATCCGCCGCACCTCTGCGGAGATACGGTCGATTGTAGTTTGTAGCCTGGGCAGGAACCTTTAACCAGCTATAACTTTGGCTAGGAATTAGCTATTGTAATGATTTAAATATCATTTTAAAGCCCGTAAAAATCTCTATAAAATTATTTCCTAAAAATTCAAATCCGAATCAATAATAAAATCTTAAAAAATAATAAAAAATTCAAATTTTTCAAAATATCGATTTTTTTTAGATTATGGTTACTGTATGGTCTCATCCCAATCCAAGAATACACGATAAAAATCGTGGACTACTCGATGGGGAGCCCGGTGCCGGATGAGATGTGTGCACATATCTATAGGATGAAGTACTCGCTGCAGGTAGCGTGGAGTTTGGCTTCAACAGGCCTTTAAAGTTTTTCGAAAAATTTCCTCAACATTCTCGGCTAGCCTGCCTGCCAGATTGACCATTTTTGTCTTTAGAAATCCTTTAAAACATTTCCCCAAGTTTCTCTGCTAGTTTTCTCAAATTCGGGACCCTAGGTCGAGTTTTCACTTACCTGGCCCTTTAAAATGTACGTAGAAAATTTTCCTCAAGGTTCTCAGCTAGCCTGCGGCCAGTTTAACCATTGTTCATTTCAGGTGCTGGCCATGGTAGTGTGGGGTACGGTAGTGTTCGCGTCTCTCATCAATCTACGCGTTTTATGCTACTTGAAGTCAAAAAGGAGGCAGTTGAAGGACAACAAAAGCATCAAAAAGGTACGGTATTTCTAAGGGACGCTGCTCGCTACCCTGTCCCTGCCCCTTTAAATCGATGACGCTATGAAAATCGTCTCAAACCCTGTTTTAAAGGGGTGGTGACACCTAAATTCTTCATGAATCCCTGCCAGCTACCCTGTCACCGTCCCTTTAAACCGATTACACGGTGAAAATCGACTTAGAATCCTCAAGAATCTCTGCTAGCTACCCTGTCACCGTCCCTTTAAACCGATTACACGGTGAAAATCGACTTAGAATCCTCAAGAATCTCTGCTAGCTACCCTGCCATCATCTAGATACCGGTTTTAAAGGGAGCGAGAAGTCAACCGAATTTCCGCAAAGAATCCCTGCTGGCCTACCCCAAACCACGACTGTTTTAGTCGCGTAAGCTGATGCAAATGGAGCGTCGTCTTACCGTAGTCTACCTGCTCATCACAATCGTTCCGGTGATACAAATTACACCCGGCATCATTGCGGCCGTCATTAACGAGCTGTACGGAATCAGGAATCAGGTGAGCTGTAGTTTGTAGTCTCTAAACTATATTACTTGTATTTTGTAGTCTGTAGTCCATACCCCTCATTTTCAGACAGTGTGGCTGTTCTGCTTCGGGCTGTCCTCCCTCAGCAAGTTCGTCCAGGCCCTCCTCATCATCATGTCGATACGGTCGATAAAGAGGCGGATATTGTCGATGTTTAGGTAGGCTATAGGCTACAAACTACAAAATTCTACTAACTGGGATACAGACTACAAAGTACAACATTCGACGCTAAAAACCACAGACTATAAACAGCGTAAATCCAAGCGGTAGACTACAAGCTACAGATAACAACGATAGACTACAAACTAAAAAATTAGCTAAGCGGCACTACAAGCTACAAATTCCAGCTGCCGACATCGACGCCTCTCCCTGGATACACCCTCAAATACGATCCACCAATCGACGGCCAACCTGAGGCTCACCGCCGAGACAACACAACAACGGCTCCTCCCTCCGGATTTGGTTAGGTTACAGGTATGCTTAATAAGATATTGGCTTATCTGTATGCCAGTTCCGCCCTGAAAATAAGAAAATTTGAAATCTGTGCAAAACGCAAAAAGTTACGACCTCCGTGAGGATCGAACCCACGACCCTGGCTTAATGGCCTTTTTGAATCATCTTATTTCATTTTTTGGTGCGATCCGGTTAGCTTGATGGCAGCACAGCTATACAAACTACAAAAACCGCAACCCGAGCAAAAAGCAAAAACTACGACCTAGGCGGGGATCGAACCCTCGACCCTCGGCTTGTTAAAATCAACTTAAAAAGTCCAAATTTTCAGGTGAGCCCCGGACTCAGCCTATTCGAAGCGATCGCCAAGAAACGGGCGAGTATACTATAATTTTCTCCCTGTCCCTATCCCTTTAAAGACGCAAATCGCTTTTTTCGATTTTTTTAATTTTTGTGATTTTCCATTCCAATTTTCAGTATTAATTTTTGTATGTACAAATGCTGCGTATTTTTCGACTTCCCGGTCCCTTTAAGATAAGAAAACGATTTTTTTCTGTTTTTCTATTTTTAATTTTTCGGCTTTTTCCATTTTTTTAATTTTCCCGATTTTTTTATATGTACAAATTCCGGTGTGTACTTGCCATATCCTGGCCCTAATTAGGGCCCAAACGGGTCCCATTTTACTTAATTTTTGTATGTATTTATTTATCGATTTTTTCTGTCCCTTTGGATTACGGTATGTGTCGATTGTTGTGATGCGGAGGGAGCGCCCCCATTCGATTACGCAATAAAATTCCGAATTTATGTGTCGTAATCGATTATCTGGCAGTCAGATTAGCTAATGGCAAGCTAGCCGAGATCATTTAGGAATCTACAAACGTACAGGCGAGCTAGCAGCGGCTCTTTGCCCCCAATCGATCGGATTACGCCACTAAATTCTGACTTGCAGGTCCCTTTAAAAGGCCAATCGGCGCGATGGCAGCCAGTTGAGAAGCTTGTAAACTCGAAAAATCACTCCGGGCCTTAGAAACGGTTAAAAATTCAAATCCGTTTTGCAACCGGTCACGCCACAAAATTGTGACTTGCCGGTCCCTTTAAAAAATCTGGCCGTTCTGAAAACCGCTTAAAATGTAAATTCCGGTTCTCACGGGTTACGCAACGAAATTTATGCGGTGCATTTGAGTGTCAGAACATGAAAATCGACACGCTAAATCGATCGGAAAATCGATAAATAAAACACAACAACGTGAGAGAAATATGAATAGATATACCCAGAAAATGAGAGAGAGTGACGCAGAGAAAAAGAGTACAAACAACATGGACGAGCGGGGGAAAAATCGATAATTCTTCGTTTTTTCTTGCTAATCGGAGTCGGATGAGGTCTCGATACTCGAACTGCTCTCCGATAGCGAATCTGCAAAAAAGGATTCGGAAAATAATTTTTACGAATAAATAAATTCACAATTTTTTTTAGAAGTCTAGAAAATAAGAATTCCTAAAAAATGCGAATTCCAATTGAAAAATTCCTCAAAAGATAAAAAAAAATTTAATTTTTACAAAAAACTAGAATTTTTAAAAATCAAAAAAAAATAATGAAAACGAAATCGTTTTGAATTGGAAAATTAGAGTATTTTTGTAAAAATCAATAAATTAAATTTCGATAATATTAGAAGGCCAGCTTTTAATTTCAACACAGAGCCGAAAATTCAAAAAATTCAAAAAATTTAATTTACAATTTGAAAAAGCCGATTTTCTACAAAAATTTAAATTTTAAAAATTCGGAAATTCATTTTAATTTTCAAAATTAATGAATAAAACTGTACGCACCGCTGCTGCTCTCGATCTGTTCGATCTCCTCGATGATTTGTCCCCTCTTGACGGGTCCCCGTCGAGGGCCAGTGGGAGGGGACGGCCTCTTCTTGTCCTTGTCCTTGTCTCCCTCCTCCTCCTCCTCCTCCTCCTCGTGCTCCTTCTTCTTCTCTTTCTCCTTCTCTGGCTCCTCTCCGCTCTCATTCCCGTCATCCTCCTCCTCATCCTCCGCGTGCTTATCCAGCAGCATGCTCAGCTGAAACAGAAAATTAATTATATTCGGAACCGTATCGCTTGGAAAATAGCAACAAAGGAAAATTTTTATTGCGTAATCGATTACGCTATGAAAATCGATCAAAAAGAATAGGTTATGCTATGAAAATCGTCAAAAACAAAAGATTACGCTACTAAAACCATTAAAAACAACCCATTACGCTATGAAAATCGAGAAAACGATCGATTACGCCATGAAAATAGCGAAAATCGACCGAATACGGTATCAAAAATTCCCTAGCATGTTTTAGAGTAGCATTTCGATCGCGTAATCGATTACGCCATGAAATTCGCCAGAAATTTCGCCGCGTAATTGATTACGCCACGAAATTCGAAAGTTACCGTACCCGATGGTCCATCTGCGAGATTTCCTCTTCGGTCGGGTCGCAATGCGTGATCACGAGCGTGGCGCGCTGAAAAAAATCGATAAAAAGTGGAAAAAGCGGAAAAATCGATTTTAAAGGGACTCGGAAGGCGAAAAATCTATTAAACATCGAATTTCGAAAATCAATTTTGAAAGTCCAAAAATGATCAGTAATTCGAAATATACAATTTTAAAGGCGCCGGTAAGGCAACAAAATCAAAATCAGACCTTGTTGAAGGTCTTGGTCTTCCTGGTCAACTTGACGTTCGTGTCCAGCTCGTTGTAGAAGACACCATCCCGGCGGAATGACAGGAAATAGCTGTCCTGGAAAGAGGGGGATCTTCATGGCGTAATCGAATCGAAAATCCGGGTTAAAGGGAGTGCGACAGCTCGCTTGGCATCGCGTAATCGAATGCTTGAGCTGTCGTGCCACCTTTAGCACGAAAAAAATTAATTTTGTAGCGCAAACAATTGGAAAAACCGCTTTAAAGGGAGTGTGACACCTCGCTTTTCATCGCGTAATCCAATGACTGATCTGTCGCGCCACCTTTAAAACGAAAAATTCAATTTTTTACCTGAATATATCCGCGGCTGCCCTTGTTGCGCACGTTCCACGTGTACTCGCGATTTTGGAAGTACTCGTATCTGGAAAGGGGGATGATTGGATGGAGTAATCGAATAAACCCACTTCTCTTCGGGTTTATAGGGCACCCCGGCGGCCTTGTCGGCCATCCGCTTCTCGAGCGTCTCGACGGTCGGGCAAAAGTGGGTGACGAACTGCTCGCCCGAATCGTCCTGCATACCCCTGAAAAAAATAGAGGTAAAAATAGCTCAAAATCACTATAAAACGCGCAATCGGATGAAAAATGTGATTTCTGCGAAAAAAGCGCTCTAAAGTAGCTCAACCCCATAAAAATCGCCAAAAAAATCCAAAATTTGGACCCGAAAAATGATGGCCAAGTGGCTAGCGACTTAGGCTACCAATCTGACGACCCGGGTTCGACTCCCGGGACCTACAAACTTTTTGCTTTTTGTTCAAAATAGCGCTAGAGGCAGGATTTCGCGTAAAAACAATAAAAATCAAAAATACAGGCCTAAAGTTGCCAAAATTCGAAAAAAACAACAAACAAAAAAATACCTGATCTGAGCCTGGGCGAGCATCTCCTTCTTCAGGCCGGCGGGGGCGTTCAGCGGCGACGGATCGCCGTCATATTGCACGAGGGCGAATGAGTATTTCCACAGCTGAAAAACTGAAAAATTAAAAAGCTAATTTAATGGCGTAATCGACTAGAGGCTCTAAACTCCAGACTACAAACCTCAAAATCGGGCAACAGCGGGAACTCCTCGACGGCATAGACGTCCTTCTTGTTGTAGTGCTTCGTCGCCGGCTTGGACACCTAAAAAACAAAAACGCTAATTTACAACTTGAAAATAGGCTTACATCGATGAACGTCTTTGAGATGTTGTCAATCTCGGATTGTCGATCCCTGAACGGTGTCTCCTCTTCGTCTTTCTTGTCTTTCTGCCGTTTGTAGCCGACTTTCGTTTCTTGCCGATCTGCCGAGACGCCGAATCTGGAAAAAATCGATCAAAAAATCGCTTCTAGCTGGCCCGGGATTCGGGAAATGATTACGACATGAAAAACCGGCTATTTTAAACGATTACGCAACGAAATTCGATGCAACACAATTGGTTTAACCGATTACGTTAGGAAACTCGGCGAAAACGTAAAAAACGAGCCGTCTAATCGATTACGCCAGGAAATTCACGAAAAATCTGGAAGCAAAATCGATTACGCTATGAAAAACTTCAAAATCGAATCGATTACGACATGAATTTCGACACGGGGAATCGATTACGCTAGGAATTCGGCAAAAACGCGTCAAAATCCAGCCGTCTAATCTATTACGCGACGAAATGAAGGGGTGTACCTGTTGAATTCGGATCCGATATATTCGGTCTTCCTCATCCAGGGGACCCATTTGGAGTGTTGGGCGGATCTCTTGAGATTCTGCGTGCCGGTCGGTTCCTCGGAGACGAGCGCCTCGTCTTTTGGGTGAAGCTGCAAAAAGAAAAATTGAAATTTAATCATTCAAATCACCTAAAAGTAAAAGATAACATTTAAAACTAGACTTAAAAAGAATTTCATAAACAAAAATTATATTTTAAATGGCTAAAAATTGAAAAACCCAGATTTTCACTCCAAAAATACAAATTTTGAATTTTTGAAAAAAATTGCAATTTCTCGATTTTTGTAAAATTTCTTTTCGATTTTAACAAATTGAAAGTATCAACTATAATAATTTTCTTGACGCGTCTGTCCGTCCGTCCGTCTGTGTGAAGCCGAATTCAACTCGAAGGGGAAAGGAGCTAGAGCTTAGCTCTCTTCGGATTCGGATAGTGCGCCGTCAGAAACCCCCAACCTGATAAAAAAATTATGAAAAACTTTTAGTTTAAATTATTAAAATTAACTTTGAAAGTGGCGCCTTAATAAAACGAGTGGGGCCCCTCTCCCGGGAGGCCACGCCCCCTTTCCTTTCGCCCCTCTTCCTCAGGCCCTTTCCCGCGCCCAAATAGCTTTTTAAGTTACTTTCATACTTTTAATACTTTTTAATTATGTTAATTAATTATTTAAATTATTTAAAGTATCTAAAGCCATCGTTAGGTAGTTTTTGAAGGGGATTTCAGCTATGGGGGGTATCTGAAGCCATCAGGGAGGTATTTAGGTAGTTTTTGACGGGGATTTCAGCTATGGGGGGTATTGATGGAGGTGGGAAAGGATGTGGTGGAGTGGGACATGTAGGGTAGCCCGAAGGCCAGATGGTTGCAGTCGCGAAGCGACTGTAACCATCTGGTACCTCGATATGCCTCTTGGGTAGGGCATAGGTGAGTGGGTCGATGAGATCAATCTTGACGCCGACATCCGCTTCACACTGCACCTCTTGCACATGCTTCTTCTCCAGTTCCGTCGGCTTGTACTCAACGAATCTAGAGAAAGAGGTTACGCCATCAAATAGACTATAATAATGTATACATAAACTATAATATATTTAATATATCCCACAATATCAATTCAAAATAGTTTAAGAATATTTTTAAAGAACTTAAAAAGGCTGTAATAATTCCAAAAATAATCAAAAAACGATTAAAAATAAGCCAAAATACTTCTAAATAGTTTAAAATTTCAAAGATATTGTTAAAAAATAAAACTAATCGATTACGCCATCAAACAGACGCCATAAACCACAATATTCAATATATTCAATAATATCAATTTCAAATCGTTTAAAAATCCTTTTAAATGACTTAAAAAAAAGCCCAGATAATTCCAAAATGATTAAAATAATTTTAAACGCCCAAAATGATCAAAATACGATCAAAGATAAGCCAAAATACGTCAAAATAGCCCAAAATAATAAAAATGGTATAAGAAATAGTCCAAATAGTTTCAATTATTCAAAATTTAACTAAAAATAACAACATATGCTTAAATATAGACAATAATAGCCAAAATAAGGTCCAAAATAATCCCAAAATAAACTACATACTTTAAAATACCGAAAATAGACTAAAAATACTCTAAAATATCTTAAAAAATAGTCGAAATAGCCCAGAATAATCAAAATAATATTGGAAATAGTCGAAATAGTTTAAAATATTCAAAAATAATAGTTAAAATAAACCCAAATACCTCCAGATAGCCCAAAATAATCCAAAAATAATATTATGAATAGTCCAAAAAGTTCAAAATATAATTAAAAATAACAACATAATCTCAATATAGACAACAATAACCAAAATAAGCCAAAATAAGGTCCAAAATAATCCCAAAATAAACTACATACTTTAAAATAACCAAAATAGACTCAAAATACTTTAAAATATATTAAAAAGTAGTCGAAATAGCCCAGAATAATCAAAATAATATTGGAAATAGCCTAAATCGTTTAAAATATACAAAATAATAGTTAAAATAAACCCAAATACTTCTAGCTAGCCCAAAATACCCAAAAATAATTTTAGAAATAGTCTAAATCGTTTAAAATATACAAAATAATACTAAAAATAAGCTAAAATACTTCTAAATAGACAATAATAATCAAAAACAACCAAAATAGGGTCGAAAATAATACCGCAATACACTACATACCCAAAATAGACTCAAAATAACTAAAAAAATAGCCGAAATAGCCCAGAATAATTAAAATCATACACTTAATAGCCCAAAATATTCAAAATACTTCGAAAATAACCAAAAATAGCCCAAATAAGTTTAAAATAAGCTGAAACAAACATTCACAATCGTCGAAATAATCTAAAATAAGCAAAAAAAATATTAAATAGCCCAAAATATTCAAAATACTTTGAAAATAGTTTAAAATAAAACAAAATACAAGCTAAAAAACTAAATACTACCACTAATAAAAATAATAAACGACTCTAAAAATACCTGTTAAGCTGAAGAAAGGGGCAGGGCAGGAATTTGCCCTTGAAAGGGATGTCGGGCAGCGTGTTGTTGTACTTCGGCTTGATGAAGTCGAGCTTGCTGAAAACGGGAAATTTATAGAGCAAGGTAGCAGAGATTCTTCAGGAAAAGGCGCGCTTTTCAGGATCATTTAGCCAATTTTCAAGGTTTAAAACCAAAAAAAAAAATTCGAAAAATCCTTTCTAAACCCAAATTTCCTAGCGAATTTTGGTGGTTTTGGATCAGGGCAAGCTAACAGAGAGAATTTAGGAAATCCCAGTGCGTTCTGAGCAATTTTTAAGATTTTTCAAAGCCAATAAAGCTTGAAAAGGTGCTCAAAAAGTTGCAAACGTCCTAAAAATTGTATTTTCCTTTCGAATTGACGTCTTTCGAAACCAGGGCAAACTAGCAGAGAGCCTTGCGGAAATTTTCCAAATATCTACAGGTAATCCTACTATATATAAAAAAATAGTGTTTGTGTGTGTGTGTGTGCCACTTTGCATCCACTTCCGTCTGTCTGTCCGGAGGATATCTCAAGAAGGGACGGGTATTAGGCTACGTATGATACGTCATTAGGTGCGTAATGGTCTAGGGATGACTGCACACATATCAGATTTTTAAAAATTAGCCATTTTCGTTATTAAATTTAAGTTTTTGTAAAAACCTCTTTGTTAGGAATAATTAGCATAGACCGGAAGCGGGCCGTCGCCTATATAAAGAGGCAGAAAGGGTTGTTTTTCATTTTTTTGTCTTCTGAAGGGAGGACAATTATGCAAAGGGCAGAATAATATGGGGTCCGAGACGGGGCCAGGGTTGAAAAGTCGCGAAGCGGCTTTTCAACCCTGGTTAGATGATAAAAACCAAAAAGAAACGAAAAAACGTACTGCTCGGGCGTGCGATTGGGGTGCTGGCCGGGGCGCCGGTGGTGGGCGGGCGGCGCTTGCGGCTTGCTCATTTCGGGGGCAAGTACCTGAAAAATGGGGAAATAAAACGTGAAAAACGCTATAAACACAGTAAAGAAAACGAGAAAGCAAAGATTAGCAAAAAAGAACACCTTAAAACAAAAAATCTATGTAAATTTCGTCTCCACTCAAAAATTGGCAAAAATCATAAAATCCTTACTTTTTCAAGCTCAAAAAAAATGTCCTAAACAAGTTTTACGCTCTAAAAACTATAAACCACAAGAAGAAGCACAAAATTTCGTCCTAGACAAGTTAGAAACTAAAGAAAACCTAACTTTTTTAAGTTTTGGAAAAGTTTGGCTTCAAAGTCATCATTTTTCTAACGAAATTAGCTTTTTCCAACGTTTGACTATACATCAAAAGTTTTGGCATCTAATTCTCTATAAAATACATCAAAAAAATTATAAAAATGATTAAAAATAGTAAAAATTGGCGAAAAGGGAGGTCAGGGCATTTTCGAATGGAACCTTTCGGCTACACGGCACGCCTATCGACACCTGCATCGAGTGCTCTCAACAAATCCCCCGGTTTTGAGCGCGTAAAACCATGCTGAAAATACATAAAACCATAAATTAAAGGTAAATAAAGCACAAAATAGAATGAATGCTGTTTAAAACTGTAATCTGCATGCCGGATTACCTGGAAAGGTTAGGAACTGCAATTTTTAGGCCCTTTTCGAGCTCTTGGGGACCAGGCCAAAGATTTTCTAGCGGAAAAGAGAGGAAGACGGGCGATCTAGCAGCGATTCTTGAGGAAGCGAGCAGTTTTTGATTGAAATTTCCGCTTTCTGACATGCAACCTATAAAATCCACTCGGAATTTCTAAAATTTTCGATGTTTTTGATGGATTGAATTTGGATGGAGCCGCCTTCCAGGCCAGCTACCTTTCTAAGCTTCTAAGGCAAGCTAGCAAAGATCCTTTGCACTTTTCACGGTGCTCCACTGGTCAACTGGTGAGCAAAGAACGGCTCTACTTCGGGTGGGCCGGGTATATAAAGCCGTGCCTCGAAATGAGGAGCCAGATAAGGGGCTTGACAGCAAAAATCGTCCCTCACTGTCTCGGGCCATGTGGCTTTCTACGCGGCTTTTGATCGGCGTTTTTGGTGTATTGGTATTAAATGGAGGTCAGTTTACGAAAATTCGTCAAAATTTACGGGTAGCTAGCAGTGATTCTTTAGGGAAAAACCTTTAGAAACCAAAAATCCGCGATTTTCGCTAAAAAATTTCAAATTTTTGTAACTTTTCTAAATAGTTTTCTATGTTTTTCTACTAAAGAGAAGTCAGTTTACAAGAATTCTTAAAGATTTCAAGACAACCAGCAGAGGTTTTTGAGGAAAATCCTTTAGAAGCCAAAAAACCGTGTGTGCAGCGCGTCTACCCGGATGCCGGAGGACTTCCGGCCATCGGCTGCGTGTGCAACGCCGCCGGCTGCGACGACGTCGACCCGGTCGGGCAGTTGCAGGCAAGCCAGCAGGGATTTTTGAGGAAAATGTCCTTTTTAGACGGGAAGTTTTGCGATGTACCTGACCTCGGCGGCGGGAAGTCGTCTGGACAGAATCGACTCGAGGTTCATCGCCCTCCCAAATTCAAGCAATACCGTAACTGTGGACCCAAGAATTAAATACCAGGTAAAATCCGGTTCTAAATTGTCTCTGCTAGCTTGCCCGGATCTAAAAATACGTATTTGAGAAATCCGATTATGCAATGTTATTGTTAGTACGCTACAATACGCCTAAAATTCCGATTTTTTTTGCGTAAATCTACAGTCTGCCTGGCAGTTTGGCTAATTACGACCTAACGCCGATTTTCAGAGCATAATCGGTTTCGGCGGCGCGATGACGGACGCTTCTGGCATAAATATTCAAGCTCTATCCCCGGATCTGCAACAACAAATTCTCCAGGACTACTATGGGGCTAATGGTATGATTTTTGCTTAAACTGACATCCACAGCATCCATTAAAGGGTTTCGCAAGGCAAAATGACCCGAGGGTTCGATCCCCGGCGAGGTCCAAGCTTTTTGATTTTTGCTTTGTGCTCAAATTGTTGAAAATACCATTGAAAAACTGTTCATGAAGCCAGTTAAGTCAAATCTGCGGAGAATTCCCGGAAAATTAGCGATTTTCCGGCCCAGGCGAGGGTCGAGGGTTCGATCCCCCCGCGAGGTCAAAGTTTTTTGCTTTTTGCGTGTAAATCGATAAAATTAGCTAAAAAGCTATTTTTAAGGAATACAGTACACGATGACGCGCGTCCCCGTCGGTTCTTGCGACTTTTCGACGCGTGCGTATTCGTATTGTGACACGACCAACGACTTCGACATGGCCACCTTCGCCCTCACCGATGACGACAATTTGATGAAGGTACGGGGGCTGAAGGTTGATTTTCAGGGTGTAATCGGGTAAACTGGCGGCCAGAGTAGCGTAAAATTTGCAACGCTCTAGCGAGTTGTTTTATCAATCCAGCTACCCGGGTTCGATCCCCGGCCGCTACTACTTTTGCTTTTTGAAAATAATGATAATTTTGAATTTTTTTATTGAAAACGGCTAGCTAGACGTCAGTTAACTCTCTGAAACCCATAGCGCAGCAGGTAGAGGCTTAGATTACCAATCTAACCACCCAAGTTCGATCCCTGGCAGCGACAAACTTTTTGCTTTTTGCTCAGGGTATCGATATAAGCCTATAGAAGCCGAATCTGGCATCCAGAATACCCATAGATCGATATCCGCTTCAGATTCCGCTCCTCCAAAAGGCCAAATCGCTCGTCGAGGCCACTGGGGACCAGTTGAAGCTGTTCGCGACGGCCTGGAGCTCTCCGGGGTGGATGAAGAACACCGGCAGGATGAAGGCAAGTCAGATAAACGATTACGACATGAAATAGGTAATTTTCAGGGTGGTGGCTACCTTCTCGGAGCGACTAATGGCCCGTACTACATGGCCTTCGCCAAGTACTACAGACGGTCCGTTTTTCCGGGCAGGCTAGCAAAGTTTCTTCGGGAAATTGTTGCAGTTTGTAGTCTGGATGCCAGTTTGGCGATACCCGCAAAACTTTAGCTCCAAATTCAAAAAGCAAAAAGTTTACCCCGGCGGGGATCGAACCCGACCCTTGTAAATGAAAGCCTAACTCGCTAACCACTTGACCAAGCGCCCCCAAGATTTTGGCATTAGTTAGATTGATGGCCAGTTAAGCCACCGACACCAAAGGCTCGTTGAAAAATCAAAAAGCAAAAAGTCTGTCGCGCGCGGGGGTCGAACCCGGGCCTTGCTAAGTAAAATCGTTTAAAAAGTTAAATTTTTCAGGTTTTTCGAGGAATATCAGAAGCAGGGGTTGTCCTTTTGGGGGATGACGCCTGAGAATGAGCCGACCGAGGCGGCAGATCCAAGTTATGGATGGCAGGCGCTGTTCTTCAACGGAAGCTACGAACGGTGGGGGGATTTGTAGTTTGTGGCTGAGATTTTTCCTTGAATCTATTTACTGTTAGACAGCTTGCATGCCAGTTTGAAGTTTGTAGCGTAAAACGAGCTCGATTTTGTAGTTTGGAGGCGTTTTTCTAGCCAAAGTCAGGTTCCGCTAGGCTTTCCCGGCTTTTTGTAGTTTGTAGACTAGCTTGAGCCTCTTATTTAGAGAGTCCTCACGTCAATTTGCACCTTGTAGTCTGTAATTTCTAGTGACTTCATCCGCTACTCCCTCGGCCCGCAACTAAAGGGATCGGATGTGACGAAAGATATCAAAATCATGATCGGAGATGATCAGCGCTACGTCCATCCCGCTTTTGCGGATACGGTAGGCCGGAAATTGGGATTTTTGGATCTTCTGGATGCCAGGAAAGAGTTTCCCCAGGTCACATCATCGTTCTGAGCAAAAAGCAAAAGGTTTGGCGCCGCCTGGGGTCGAACTCGGACCCTCTGCCTGATGATCTAGACCCTAACCGACTGCGCTAAGTTGCTAGAAATCCCATCTGGCAGCCAAAAAGCCGAATTCACTTCAAAAGCTTTCTTTACTAGCCTCATTCTCGATTCCTCAATGCCCCCGCCAGCCTGCCCCCTAATTTCAGATTTTTGCCGACCCGGAGGCCACAAAATACGTGGATGGTATCGCGATGCACTGGTATGACGATAATAACACGGGGCCGGGCGTGTTGGACGATTTGCACAATCGATATCCCGATAAATTCATCCTCTACACCGAGGTGGGCGGGCAGATCGGACTTTTTGGGTGATTTTGGCTTCAGTGGACCTTGAAAATTGAATATTGAGTATTTTTCAGTATTGGAAGGTCTTAGCTGCCGTACAATTTAAATATCGAAATTGCGAAAATACAAAAAAACCACCTCTAAACTACAGTTGCCCCTGTCCCTTTAAAATTGAAAATACCGATTTTTTAGGCAAAATACCGATTTTTTTTCGATGTAGATTTTGATTTTTAGGCGTGCTCCTGGTGGAAGGCGGCAAATGGAGACGTGGTGATGGGTGCATGGTGGGGAGTGGATCAGTACGCGCACAACATCATCGAGGATCTGAACCACTGGAGCACCGGCTGGAACGACTGGAATTTGATCCTCGATATTCAGGTAGAGCGCCAAAGAATTTTTATTTTGTAGTCTGTCTGACATTTAAGCTACATAGAACGAAAAATAAGTAAAAAATGCAAAAAGCAAAAAGTTAGCCCCGTGCGGGAGTCGAACCCGGGTGGAGCGCCTGGCGGCCTAAATTCATAACAATACACCAAATAACGGTTGTAGTTCGTAGCCTGGAAGCCATATCAGTGACATAAATCGAAAAATATACCTAAAATCCAAAAAGCAAGAAGTTAGCGCCGTGCGGGAGTCGAAACCGGGTCGTGGGCTTATCGGCGAAAACGCTTACCAATACACCAAATGACAATCGGAACTTTTAGTCTGGATATCAGTTAAACCATTACCAAAAAAAACCTAGAATTTTTAGCGCGTTTTTGAGTTTTACGATTTTCATGGCGTAACCGGATGATTATCGATTCATTTCTATCGATTTTTCAGGGCGGGCCGAATTGGGTGGGCAACTACGTGGATGCCCCAATGACGGCATTCCCATCCCAACAAGAATACGTCAAGAATCCAATGTTCTACGGTCTCGGCCATTTCTCCAAATTCATCCGTCCCGGGTATCGTCGCGTAGCCATTACCGTACCCGCCGGTCTCGAGGGTGAGTTCCGTTTTTGTATTTTTTAATTGGAAAATGCTAATTGCATGTCAGAAAAGACTGCTGCTTTAAAACTTTCCAAAAGACACCTTTAAACGCGAATTCGCACTACATGACGTAATCGAATAGCTTGGATCGGGGTTTCTTTGCCTTCAATGGTCCTTTTAAATGTTGTTTTTTGAGAGAAATACTACTTGCATGTCAGAAAAGCCAATACAACTTTCAAAATTTCCAAAATACACCTTTAAACGCGATTTCGCATTAGATGTCGTAATTGAATAGCGTTTAGTGGTTTATTTTGCCTTCAATGGCCCTTTAATTTTTCTTTTTGTAATTTTTACCATTTTTCAGGCACGGCCTTCGTGTCCCCAGATGGAAAGCAGCGCGTGGTCGTGCTCCTGAATCGATCGACTTCCCAAACGGTCTCCGCCAGTTTGCAGGTTTGCATTTTTGGCTTCCGTGGTCCTTTAAAATCTAGTTTTTCCATTTTTTGTCGTTTTGTTATCGAAAAGCGTCACCCAGTTTAGTGCTCAGACTATTTAGGTTTAACTTTAGGCTCCGATTACGCAATGGAATCCTGAGAAGCCGTTTTTGCCTTCAATGGCCCTTTAAAACGCCATTTTTTAGGACGCCAGCCTCTCGAATCGATTCGCGAACATCCAGCTGGGTCCCGCGTCGATTGCCACGCTACTGTGGACCGAATAAATCTTGTAAAAATCGATATTTCATTCGATTACGCTATTAAAATCGATGGTTTTTCAAAGCTGTCACACTGCCTTTAAAATCGAATTTTTTTTATTTATTCCTGTACAAATCGCGAGCGTGGGACACAGTTTAGCGAAAAAAACACATATCGTAATCTACAGTAGTGCACACCGAGCGTAAATTGGAAAATTCGGAAATTTTCTGCAAAAATTCGTCAAATTTTCTCACGAATTGAGCCAAAAACGATGGGATATTGATTTTTCGATGAGGAGGGCGAGGTTATTTTGTCGATACTGATGTAAAAAAATCGAGAAAATCGATCGATAACTCGAAAAATCGATAATTCCTTAGAAAATCGGGCCCCACGAGCTGCTGTGCATATACCTGAAATGACGATTTTCAGTGATTTTCTCAAAGATTTGAAGGGGCGACAGACTCTAGATTTTGGAATTAAACAAACTGGCAGACAGGCTACAGACTACAAAATTCAAATTCGGAATTCGAGGGTTACAAACTCCCATTTTCTCGAAAAGCCCCTATTTTCAGCTGGTTTTTGAAGCTTAGGGCTACAAACTACAAACTACAACCCCTGGTTTTGAGGTTAATAGGTAATCTGGCAGACGGACTACAGGCTACAAGTCTAACTCGACTATCCGAAGGCTACAAACTACGCAGTCGCGAAAAATCGTCCAAATCGAGACTTTTAACGACTTTGGCTAGAAACTACAAGCTACAAACTTTCCTAAGTTGATAACTAGACAAACTGACATCCAGACTACGAACTACAACCCTCAAATCCCCGAAATTCTTCACCTTCCCCCTCCATATCCCGGGTAGAAGCCGTGGTAGTTGCCGAAGCTGTGGTACTTATTCGGTCCCATCCACGTCTTTCCGTGTCCAAATGGGAATGGAGAAGCCAGGAAACGCCACAGCATTCCGTTGTGAGGCGGCATTCCTACAAAGATTTCAATTTTAAATCGATTTTTCTAAAAGCAAAAAATGCCGCGGCCGGGATTCGAACCCGGGCCTTGCGGGTGAAAAACTAAACGCTAACCGGTTGCGCTTAGGCTGTAAAACGCTTAACTGGATGCCAGGTTAGAGTTTTCCAAGGAAAAATCTGACAGCAAATACGAAATTTCAAAAAGCAAATGGTCGACCCCGGCAGGGATCGTACCCGAGCCACCATTTCTCAATGATCTCTGCTCGCTTGCCCTTCCCAACCTACCGTATAGCAGATTCTGGCTGTACATGGTCGGATAGGTGGTCACCTTGTAGTAGCCGGGAGGGGGCGGCGCCTAAAAAGTACCCAACGCAACGAACCAGACAGACCCGGATGAATCGATTACGCAACGTAATTCCAGATCAGAACCGTACTTACATCAACTGGCCACGGCTGCAGTGGACCGCCCTTTTCGAGGGGCGGAATCGTGGATGGGGGGATTTGGACGATGCCTTCCTGTGGGGACGTCGACCTGCAAAGAGTACTGTAGCGGAATAAACGGAATTTTCGTACTGGGTTACGGTAGCTCACCCATTTTTGTCATTTTTTACTTTTTCAACTAAATCTTTGTCAGAATTGCTTAACTGCCTGGCAGCTGAGCGGAAAATACATAGATTTGCTTAAAATACAGCAATCCCGAGGTACAGTACCTGTTTCTCGAAGGCGGCGACTCCCTGTGGGCAAGCTGGTGCTCCCGGTGATAATCAAGGGATGAGGGTGATCTACCCCCTCCGGCTCCCTGGCTACGGTGGCTCGATGGATATGTGTTGTAACCGTGGCGATCCTGCAGCCAAAACGGGTCGTGGAAACTCCTGAACTTACCGAAGACGGCGGGACGCTCTGCGACCTGGCCGGCCTTCCGGCAATATCAGCAGCCGAGATGACGGCGTTTTCGGGGAGGGTGGTGTGCAGCTAAAGGGATTGAGTGTTTTAAAGGGACTGGCAAGTGATCAACCTTCAGTTTTCCCTTGCTTTCGGTGAGGGCGTCGCGGAGGGATTTGTCGTCGCGGATTATCGCCTAAAAATCAAACAGTAAAAGGAGCAAAAACGGAAAGTTCGGGAAAAAAAAAAAAAAAAGGCTTGGGGGATTTTGGCCAGAAATTTCGATTTTAGCTAAATAAAAGTTTCAGTTGTCTGGCAGAAAAGCCAATCGCGCCAAAAAGTTCAAAAAATTCCCAAAGAATCGCGGCTGTTGTAGTTTGTAGTCTATATCCCTACCTGTCTACCGTATCCATCAATGTAGGCCAGTGTCCCTTCGAAGTCGTGGCGTTGCTCGTGGATTTTCTTCAGGAGCGCCTGGAAATATTGAGATTTTGTAGACTACAAACTACAACTCACGTCATAAATATCCGAGTAGTCCCACTCGTATTCGGAGAGACGGAGATTGTATTTCTTCCCAAAGTGGTTCCAGCGGATCGTCTTCCCCGAGAATAGGCCCATGCTGAAAATGTAGAGGTTGTAGTTTGTAGTCTGGCGGCCAGGCTACGAAATCCGAATTGGATTTTCAAGGTCCGCTGAAGGCAAAAATCTACAAAAACCCCAAAAATTCCGCCCCTAACTCTGGACGTGTTGTAATTTGTATTTTAGAGGCCAAAATTTGGATTTGAAGTTTTTAATGTGCTAACGGAATGGCAGTTCACCTATTTAAATTTTTAAAAATAAGATTCCGCGGTTTTAAAGGGCCACTGAAGCCAAAAATCGGCAAAACCCAAAAATTCCGCCTTTGGACTCTGGACGCATCCGAGAAAAGGCTAGGGTTCCGCAGGGCAACTCTGGACGCGCCCTGGTGGGCGGGTAGCGGGAGAAGCCCGCTTTTTGGGCGGCTCTACTCAATCGTGAAATTCCGCGTGGCTACGCTGTGTTTCCGGAATAATGGGATAAACAAAGAGAGAAGCCGCCCGCTACGCTACACTCCAATAGACACGGCCAAATCAGGGGTGGATTTTGTTAAGCTGGAGGGCAGAGAACAGTTTGACGTGAAAAAATCCCTAAAATCTCGGCTAGCTCGCCCAAAATCCGATTTAGTACGTTGGACACCGATTGACGTCGAATTGGGTTACGGTAGGCCCCAAAGCTTGGGGGTCCGCTAAGCTGCCAGACAGTTAGCAGATTGGCGCAAAACGAACGCAAAAATCTCTGCTAGTTGGCCGGGATTCCGAGCCAGTACGTGCGACACCTATAAACGCTTCACGAGCTCATCCAAGGGTCATATTGAAGCCTAGAGTCCAAAAATCGCCAATCCGCCAGGCAAGGGTTCAATCCCGCCCCCGGATATCCCCATTTTTGCATGAGAAAAAAAATTGAACCTGCGGCAACGGCAAAAACTTCCGATTTTCAATGGGCAATTAGCCTGTGGCGCCTACGTGGATAGGAGCCACCCGGAAACGCGCGTCTATTTAGCCGCCTTAGCCTCCAATTATTCCAATTTATGCGCTAGTCTCGTCTACGTGTCTCGTTGGTGTCTAGAGGAGTGTAATGGAGTCTTCTGACTCACAAATTAGCCGATGAGATTAGCGGCACAAAATCGCAGATTTTTGGCTTGAGGCTACAAACTAAAAATGGTATTAGCTTATCTGGAAGGCAACGAAGCTACAGCTAAAATTTTAGCTCAATCCGACGCTAGACTACAAAGTACAACCCCTTGCAAAGGTGGGGAGGGCGGATTCCGGATGTAAAATCCGTCGCTCTCGCCCCTCCCCCTGTCGCGTGACCGTTAATAATTCACGCGCGTACTCCAAGAAATGTTTTAGCGATTTTTCACTGCTTCTCTCTATAATTCGTGCTCTCTTTTGAGTGATTTGCGGGAATTTCAAAAAAATCGAAAAAATTGAAAAGTTTGAATCTTTAACGATTTTATTAATATTTAATTTGATGCTAGAAATGGAGTGATGGGAGTTGGGTGTAATGCTAAGGGAGCAGAGCACGAAATTGACTGGCAAGCGAGCAGAGGAAATTGAGGAAATTTGGGCGTACCTGAATTTGGGGCAAGCTAGCAAAGTTCATTTAGGAAACCGGGAAAAACCGGAAATGGCTTAACTGGCTCCCATTAAAGTCAGTTAAACCATTCCGAAGCCAAGAAGAGGGCAGGCTAGCAGAGCACTTTGGGGAAAAGCGAAAAACGCCCGGGAACCTGATTTTAGGTGGCAACCTAGCGGAGACCTTTCAGGAAACCGGAAAAACCGGAAACGAGTCGGAAATGGCTTAACTGGCAGCCAGGGAAGCCAGTTAATTCATTCCCACTTCCGAAGGGGTTTCTGCTAGCCTGCCTGGTAGGAAAAAAGTGCGAGGCCGAGAAGCTTTAGGTCCCACCCGCCCCAATCCATCAAAATATTTGCTCGCCACCCCCTCCCTAATCAAAAAACGGCCCCAAAATGGCGTGGTAATTATTTTCGGGCAAATTGCCTCGGCTAGCCGGTAATTCGGGATGCAAGCTGCAATTTTTTTGCGCCGGGTTTGGGTAAATATTTGGCCCGCCGAATTTGGTGAAAATAGAGGGCCCCAAATGAGGTTTGCTAGCCTGCCCCGAGCTAAAATTTGTGTTCCCAAACGCTTTCTGCTAACCGGTTAACAACTTTAAAGGACCATTGAAGTCAAAAAGGAGTACCAAAAGATCTTCTGCTAGGGTACCTGATCTCCGGAAATTCCATTTTGGGCTCAAAGAATCGCTGCTAGCCTGCCCAGAGCTAAACTGTCTCTTCCAAAATGAACTCTGCTAGCCAGGTAACAACTTTAAAGGACCATTGAAGTCAAAATTGATTTCCTTGATTTCACTGCCACCGCTAGCTCTGGGAAAACTAGACGTTCGGTCGAATTCGAAGGTCAAAAATTGGTGTCAAGGGCTTCGACGTCGGCACTTGACATTGAGATATTTGATGCCCTCAGGGCACAGCGAGGCCAATTTGAAGCGAGAGAGCGATAGAGGGAGAGGGAGGGAGAGAGAAACACAGATGTAGCAAAAACATTAAGCAAAAACACCCCAAACTCGAGTCTTCCCAAAAGGGCAAGCTAGCAGAGAGCATTTAGGAATTGGAAATGAGTTTTCTGGAGGCCAGTTTAGCTAACGGCAAGCTAGCAGAGGTAATTTGCGGCATCCCAACCGATTATGACTCAAAAATCGAAGTTTTACGACCCAAAATTGACCAGGCAAGCTAGCAGAAATCCTTTGAGCCTCAGAATCCACCCGATTCTCCTATCTGCCAAGCATAAAACACAACAACGCAAAAAAAAACCGGCGAAACCTTTGGCCTCGCCCGGGTTGGGGGCCAATTTCGTGGAGTGCACCCCCCGATATTTCCGGGTTTTTTTTGCCGGTCTTCCGGCTACGCAACCCTCCAATTTACGGCCATGTGGCAAGCCCCAAAAATGGACCTGAAACGGCGGTAATGGCAGTGAAAATGGACCCAGGAAAGCCGGAAAATTTGATGTCGTAATCAGATTTTTGAAAAATGGGATTTAGATGGCATAATTGGTTAAAAATCTATTTTTATAGTCGTTGCAGCGTAATTGGATGTCAGAAAAGCAAATTCCAAGAAAAGTTTTTGAAAAATGCTTTTTTCCCGAATTTTGGATTTCATGCCGTAATCGGATTTTTTAAAATGGGTTTTTAGATGGCGTAATTGGTTCAAATTAAATATTTATGGTCGACACAGATCAACCGGCTGCCAGAAAATCAAAATTTAAAAGCCAAAATAATTTTTACACATTTTAAAGGGTCATTGAAGGCAAAATTCGCAAATATTCGAGCCGTCGCTCTCCCTTTAAAAACACCAAAAATGACGTTTGTTTCTAGCGGAACGAAAATCGGGGAAAACACTCGACCACGCCCCTTTTTTGCCGGCGTTGTGTATAGTAAAATTCGGGGCGAGAAATCGAATTGTCGAGGCCCAGGTCAAACAGCACCGGTGGAAATCCGATTTCTCCCCTTTTTCTCCCCCATTTTTGGCCGCTATTCCGGGCGGCCAGACGACCGGAACGGCCCCGAAATCGGCCATGAAAAGCCAGAAAAAACTAAAATTTTTGAAATGTAAAAAAATGTCGATGTCTCCCCGCGGGTTCGATCCCGTCCGCGGTCAAAACTTTTTGCTTTTTGCTTTTTGCTGGTTTTTCGATGTTTTTTCGTCACCCGTTAAACTGGATGCCATAAAACCAGCTTGACAAAAATCCGAGATTATACGAGCCTCGATTCTCGAGTTATCGCACCCCGCGGGTTCAATCCCTTCCAGCGTCAAAACTTTTTGCTCCCTGCTCAGAACTACGAAATTTTTATCGGAAAGTGTGTAGTGGCAAGCAAATAGCCAGCAAAATTCAAAAAACCAGGGCAAATTCCGGAGTACGGTAGCGCCTAATTATCGGCGGCCCTTCCTTTCCGGTACCTTTAGAAAATACGCGGGAATACGCTAGAAAACGGGGGCGCGTCTATGGGAAATTGGCGGAAAACAGGGCATTGTTATATATAGGGGGGAAGGTGAAGGAGAAGCGGAACGGGATGGAAATAATAAGTGTTTACGCTAGGCCAGACGGCATTTTCACACGGAAACCGAAGACGCGTAATAAATAACAAGAGCGGGCTGGTAGGCTAGCAGAGAGAACTGGGGAATTCAAACTGGCAGCCAGGCTACGGGAATTCCACAAAGAATCTTTGCTAGCTCGCCAGGGGCGAGAGATAGGCGGGGGTCAGGGAAAAGGCTCAATCTTGGGAATGGTGAGCTAGCGGAGATCCTTGAAGAAGATGACTTCAAGGGTCCTTTAAAGTGAACTGGCTAACGGTGAACATTTTGGAACGGAAAGCTCAGCTCTAGGCAGGCTAGCAGAGATTTTTGAGGCAAAAATTCGAAATCCGGACTCCTCAAACCAGGTGCCCTAGCAGAGGTCCGTGAGGAAAGTGAATTTGGTCTTCACTGGTCCTTTAAAATTTCAACTGGCTAGCGGTAATTATCATGGAACGGAAAGTGAAAGGCTAGGTAGGCTAGCAGTGGTCATTTGGGATTCAGTACCCAGGGCAGAGGAGAGGCCGAACTACACCTATTGACGCTCCGGGGGCAGGGGCGGAACAATGGGAGTATGGAGGGCTATAGATACTTCCGCTCCTTCTCCCTTTCACACCCAAAAAAAATTAAAAAGGCTGGGATTTGTGTTCCGTTTTTTTCCTCTTTACGTACACCCACTGTCCCCGGGTAGCCGAGCGGAATTTTTGAGGAATTTCTTAGCGTTTTGGGGCCCACGCAGAGGCGAGGAGTTTGGTGTCACTTTTCAAAGTTGTACGGGGAGAAAAACTACGGTTTTCTAGGTATTTTTAAGCGAAAATCGAAAATTAATTTAATGGCGTAATCGAATGTCGAAAAATCGGCTAGAAAACTACAAACTGCAATTCTTTTGTAGTCTATTTTGTCTCCAGGCTACAAACTGGCATCCAGTTAAGAATTATCTAGGCTAAAAATGCGATTTTCCTACCGTAGAGGATTTTTGGAATTTCATGGCGTAATCGAATAGCGAAAAAACGCTAAAAACTACAAACTACACATTTAAAAAATTTGATTCCTGCTTTAATCATTGCTCCCTTCAGCAATGATCTCTGCTACCTATTTTGAGCAAGAATCCGCGCGCAAAAATGGAATTTAGCGAAAACGGATTGCAGCCCCGGGAAGTGCGTAAATAGGCGCGTGATGGAATTAGGGGTGACGCCACGAGAGAATAGCGCCCGGATTAAGCCTAAAAACACAAAATAATCACGTATTCAACCTATTAAAGCTACTAACTACAGTAACCACTTTCCCCAACATTCGATTACGACATGAAATTCTGAAAATCGTAAAATCTGCAAAAAAATAGATTTTTTCCTGTATTATTGCTAATTGGGCGTCAGTTTGTGGGTTTACGTCTTCAACATAAAAATTGAACTTGAAAACAATCGACCACGACATGAAAATGACGAAACAACGCCTAGCTGTAAACTCACCAACTGAGCAGCAGCTCGAGCATGGCCTAGAAAATTGGGGTTGACGAGCAGGAAGAATTTCGAGAGAAAGAGAAAAGGGGACAGAGAAAGGAGGACGGAAATACCGGGGTGAACGTGGGCCAAGTGGTTAGCGAACTTGCCTGCCAATCCCAAGGCCAGGGTTCGACTCCCCTTCGCGGCAAACTTTTTGCGTTTTGCTTCGAACTGTCAGAATAGGCAATCTGGAAGCCAGGAAGGCGGAATTCAGACGTAAAATTTGATTCGGAAACGATTACGCTATGTTATTGGGGCCCGGGTTCGGATCCCGGGTCGCGGGGGTTTTTTTTTTTTTTGTTTTTGTTTATTTTTTGATTAATTTATCAAATGGTAAGAAAAAGAGGAAAGATTAGAGAGAGGGAGGAAAGGGGGGAGTGTAGAGAGGAGGGAGAGAGAGAGAGAGATGAGAGAGAGAGAGCGAGAGAGCGAGATAGAGAAAACGTAAAACATTTTATTTGAGCATTGGCCACTCAGGAAATTGTGAGAAAGGGCGAATTGTCCGTTTCCCCTCCGGCCACTACGCAATATCCGCCCCGCCCAGCCCCCGCCCAAACCTCAATTTCCCCTGATTTCCGGCGCGGACACGGAAAAATTGGGGTTTTTTGGTGGTAGTTCGGTGTTTTGGATGCCAGATCGACGATTTAGCCGCTTTGGCAGGCTAGCGAGGCCATTTGGAAAAAAATAGGGGTGATGTTTAGACAATTTCAGGCAATTGCCTATTTTTTGCCTAGAAAAAAGCAGAGCAAGCTAGCAGAGGCAATTTGAGAAAATAATTGGCTTAACTGGCATCGAGATGCAGGATTCAGAAAAAAATGAGAAAATTCCGGTCGAAAAGCGTGGCAAAGTGGTTAGTGGTCTTGCCTAGAAATCTCAAGGCCAGGGTTCAACCCGGGCCGCGCCAAACTCTTCTGCTTTTTTGCTTCAAACTCTCAGAATCGCCTATCTGGCAGCCATTTTGCTCATTGGCAAGCTAGCAGAGAGAATTTGAGAATTCAAGTCCGAGAAATCGCCTCGGAAAGGCGATTCCCTGGGGGGCTGGGAGACATGACGGATGTTTCCGCTTTCCCCGTCTCCCCCCATCTTTTATGGCTTCCAAAAAAATTGCGGAAAAACTCTGGAGGATTAATCTGCCTCCATTCCCGTCCCTTCCGCTTCTTGCAAAAATTTTGCAAAATTCCTCACCGAGCCCCGCCCAAAAACTTCAATTTTTTTCGGTTTCTCTCTCACTATCGCTCTCTTTCTAACTTTCGCTAGCTTTCTGGCCGCCAGTTAGCAGATTCTGAGCGTTTTGGGCAAAAGCAAACATTTGCCGCGGCGGGGAGTCGGACCCGGTCTTCAGACTGGCAGACAAACTGTGGCCAATGGAAGACCCTTTGGCCACGCATTCCAGCTGGCCCTTTACAAAGCATCCCGAATCACTTACATGTCACTGCCACCCTCTCCACGATCCGACGTACGCGAGAACGGCCGGGACATCGTGTCGAAAATCTGGAATTTGACGCTGGAAATGACGTTCTGAGGGTCGATGGTTCGATCCCGGGAGCGGTAATCTCCTCTTGCCTTTTGCCTTTTTGCTTCAAATTTTGGAAACGGCTTAACTGTCTACCAGTCCAGCGATTGGAAAAAGTAAACACAAAACAATCGGTTTAAACTTGTTAAATTGGGGACGAGGGTTCGACCCCCGGCGCGGTACCAAAATTTTTTGCTTTTTGCTTTTTCAAAAGCCACTCACCGAGTTGTGGATCTCGCGCTCCCGGGGCTTATACTCGGGCGAGTACTCGAGTGTATAGGCAGCTCCGCCCTGGTGTACGGTAGACATTCCCCTGGAAAATGGAGCGTCGCGTAGGGTTACGGTAATTTTTGCGCAAATTTGAACGAAATTTTTGTGGGAATATTCTAACTGGCTGGCAGTTTGCTTGAATTAATTTTCAGAATCAAAAAAATCGCTATACGGGTGGAATTAGAAATGAGGGTGGATTCCAAAATCTCAAAAATCCCGCTCAGAACCCATTTTGTCATTTTTTTCGCCTGGAATATTTTGTGAACTGGCCAGCAATTGATCCGAATAGTTTTCGCAAGCCGGCAAAAATATCGGGATACGGTAGAAATCGAGCTCATAGCGAAATACAAGTACCCCAAAATGGATTTCACGACATGAAAATCGATTCCGCCGGACAACCTGAACGCCTGGAGTTGCGTGAATCAATGTTTCCGAAGGGCCCTCAGCTGGCCCCGGGTTTATTTGCAGAAAAAAGGGAGGAATTTTTTGCGGGGCGCGGCCCCTGGACGCCCCCGTGTCGGCAAACTACTCGAAAAAATTCGGGCGAGAAAGTGGAGGGAGAGACAGAGAAACGCAGAGAAACAGCGGGAATTGTCTTCTGGCTGGCAGGGAACAGTTTAAACAACTTCTCAAAGCGAGAGAGCGAGAGGGTGCAGGGGAAAGAGCGAGAGAAACAGAGCAAAAATGGTTGCTGCCAGCCGGGTGGGAGAGAGAGAGAGAGAGAGAGAGAGAGAGAGGAGAGAGAGGGAGGAGAGAGGAGAGAGAGAGAGAGAGTGAGAGAGGAGAGAGAGAGAGAGGGAGAGAGAGAATGAGAGAGAAGAGAAAGAGAGGAGAGGAAGGACAAAGTAAATACCGTACTCTCCGCATTCTATTTGGCACTCGTCCGTTCCCCCCCTCAATTGTTTGTGCTCCTCCAGAAAAACCCGGCTGCAAACCAAAAATTTCGATCCAAGTACCCAGGACCTCCGAGTTCCCCAAAGATCTCTGCTAGCTGGCCTCTAGGAGAAAATTCCCAAATGGCATCGGCTAGCCTGCCTGCCAGTAAGCGCATAAAACGTGTTGGTTACGAAAAATTCCAAAAAATGTTCTACAAAATGCGGATTCCCACAATTGCCAGATTTGAAGTTTTCGAGAGGCGGTTGTAGCTTGTAGTCTCATGGAATTTCGGATTTTTTGTAGTATTTAGGAAACCGCGGGACAGTTTAGTGATTGTAATTGTTTTGAAAAGGTTTTGTAGTTTTAGGCCCAACTACAGAGTACAAACTACAAAATCCGTCTAAAGTTCATTTTTCGAAAAAAATCATAATTTGTAGCCAAAAAAAAATACAATGAGTTCTGTGTAGTCTCAGCGCAAAAAATGACGGGTCCTTGAGGAGGAAAAAACGTGAATAGGCGTGTGGCGTAGGGGATTAGAGGAGAAGAAGGGGGCAAAGAAACGCTTGAGAGGGGCAAATTTGAGTTGGGAGGGGCGGTTGGCAAATAATTGGCAGGAGAAGAAGAAGAAGCTGAAGAAGAAGTTGCACCCACGCCACCCATCTGACACAATCACCCAACCACAATCCTCACGCGAAAAGCAAAAAGCAAAAGTTCTGCCGTGCCCGAGGGTCGAACCCTGCGGGGGACAGTAACTCGAGACGCGTGCATTGGAGCGCTTCGGAATCTTTGCATCTTCATGCCTGCTTGCCAGTATAAGTAGTGATACAAGAGAAATTGGCAAAAATAGCTTTATCCACGGCGGGGGGTTACGATAATCACAAGGTAGAGGTGTAATTTCTTGTTTTGCTGGTATAAATCAGAATCGAGGCGAGAGAGCGAGAGAATGGAGAGAGAGAGAGACACAGAGACAGAGATAGTCATAGAGAGAGGAGGGCGTTCCGAGTATAGTTTGTAGTCGAGTGTCGTGTACGGTAGTTGTTGTAGTCTGTAGTTCAGGCAGGAGGCCACGCCCACTTCTCTCTCTCATCTGATCGACTGCACGTCGACGAGCGTGTCCAGATCGGCACGATTGGCCGGCGCCTGAAATTCAGCATCGAAAACTGCATCGGAAAAGCAAAAGCAAAAAGTTTGTTCCGCCGCCGGGGTCGAACCCGTGGGGTACGGTAACTGGTTTGAGAACTGTCAAAATTCTATAGGAATCATTGCAATAGCTTTTCTGGCAGTCAAGTTAGTCTCTTTACAAAATCCGACTAAAAAGCAAAATGCAAAATGTTGGTGCCGCCGCCGGGGATCGAACCGGCGGGGTACTGTAACTCGAGAATCAACTGCCAAAATGCTCCCAAATTTTGGCCTCGGCTTTTCTGGCAGCCAACTCGGCTCTCTATAACGATACTTTTGAAATTTTGCTAGAAACCGCAAAAAGCAAAAAGGTTGTCGCGGCCGGGGGTCGAACCCTGGACCCCGAGTCTCGAGTTTGGGTGACCTTGGCGATGGGTAGTTGCTTGGGGGGCGGGTGGGCGGATCCCTTGGAGCCCTTCGAGTCTTTTGAGGCCTTCTTCGACGAGTTATCCTGAAAATCGAGGGCCGGGGTCTAATCGATTACGCCATGGAAATCGGGGAGGTCAGAAAAGGGGCGTGGCCTTACCGCGTCAGAGTGATCACGCTTGTGCTTGCCACGTTTGCCCTTCTTCTGAAATGGACGGAATTAGGCTTTGGTTTTGGCTTAGTTTTGGCTTAGGCTGGGCTTAGGCTTAGGCTTCGCGCAAAGAATCTCTGCTAGCCGACCTTTTTGCTGCGCGTCGACCGGGTGCTGCCATGCTTGTCCTTGGGCGGCTCTAAAAAAAAGATTTTTTTTTTAGTTTTAAAGGTACCCGCAAGGCAGAATCCAAGCCCGCCCCCCCTTTTCGCCTTCAATGGCCCTTTAAAAGCCGAAATTCGATTTTAAAAGGACCGCGCGGCGTCAACTGACAGGTAAGCCAGCCGAGTTTTTTGGGGATTTGCAGCTGCCGGCTCTTAAAGGACCGTTGAAGGCAAAATGGGCGGGGGCCATGGATTCTGACTTGCCGGTCCCTTTAAAAACCATTTTTCCGATTTTAAAGGACCATTGAAGGCTAGAAAACCGTACTAAGGACGAATCGTGTGCGTAGAAAGGCGTAGAAGCCGGCAAAGGCGATGGCCATGAGGATGAGGATGAGGATGAGGAGGAGGCCGCTGCTCAGCAGAACCGCCGGCAACACCCCCGAATTGCCCCTGGAATGTTCCGCAAATTGTCGCTGCTAGCTTGCCCCTCCCAAAAAAAATGATTTTTTAGGTTTTTTATTTTCATGTCGTAATCGATTCGTTGGCCTCTCAAATTCCTCTGCTAGCTGGCCGTTGTTCTATCTGCCTGCCAGTTTATCGATTCGCCATCCGCAAATTGCCCCTGCTAGCTTGCTCCTCCCAAAAAAAACAAAAACAATGGAATTTTTAGGGGTTTTAATTTCCCGTCGTAATCGAATCACAATTCCCCAATTTTCTCTGCTAGCCGGCCTCCCTCGTAAATTCTCGACTACCGTACTCGGCATTACGTGGAAGGGCGCTGCTGGTCTGCGCTCCCGCGTGGGCCATCGAGTGATTGGTGGGCCTGCAAATGTTGTACTTTGTAGTCTAAGCACAAGTTGTAGTTTGGAGGGTAGCGTCCCAATGCTTGGCGAATGGCCAAACTGGATGCCAGTTAACCCATTCTGACCATTACATTTTTGGCCCCGCTTTTTGGGGGCACTGTGGGGTACTGTAGCCGGCCGTCCCGCCTCGGGGGGTGTACATTGTAGTCTGAGCGTGAAAACCGCGATTTTTGTATTGTTTCGTGGTAAATGGTCAAACTGGATGCTAAGGAAGGGTTTGGAATGTACAACGCCCTACAGGACTTCTTTTCCGTGGGAATACGGTAACCGTAAAGCAGCGTACACTTGCGTAGCGTTGGTGATGTGGTTTGGGGTGGAAGCGTTGTTGCGGGGCAGTGGCCACCAAGGAGGCGTCTGGAAACAGTTTCAAGTTTGACAGTTTGAAAAAGGCAAAAATTTTCTATTTGTATCGAAATTAAATTAAACTAATTAAACTCGTGGGTTTTAAAGCTACATTTTTTTGCTTTTTGAAAGTTAGCTGCTGGAATCGCTTGTCTAGATCCCAAGTAACATCCCTGCGCACTTAGCGCAATCGGTTAATGCCCAGACCGACGGTCCCAGGGTCGAGGGTTCGACCCCCGAGCGCGGCAATTTTTTTTCTTTCTGCTCTTTTTGCCGGTTTTTTGCTGACCTGGTTCCACTGGCAGGCAGAAAGGACAACGCGCAAATTTTTGATACGATTCTATGTAAAATTCTCGATTTACAGGACCCGAGGGTTCGAGCCCCGGGCGAGACGAATTGTTTTGCTTTTTGCTTTTTTGATGATTCCTCCGGCTTAACTGAAATTACCGTAGGCGAGGGTTGTACGGGCCGAAGGGGCGGAAGTGGCTGGGCGGCCATCCGAAATAGCCGGGCCGCGTAATGGCCAAATTACGAAACGATAGGAAAATGTTAATTTCGCAGTCATCTGATGCTAATTTTTTTTGTTTACAGGGTGGGTCAGAAAATTGTTCCGGAGTTTGTCCCCGAATAACTCGAGAAGGAAACATATTTCACCATGCGTTACCATGCCAGAATGCTTAAATATGTCAGGAATAGAGATTAAGACCAACTTGATTTTTTCGATTTTTGGCGACCGTATCAATACAAATGACACCTGAAAATCAGTGTTCCGGCAAAACTTCGTTGCTTTTTCTGAATTGCTGGTGGTCGAACGGTTTCAGTTTTTACAGTGTGGGTACATAAGAACTGCCCCTGCGCACATCCGGAATTTTGGAATTTTTGAAGGTCAGGTTGGCAAGTTATAGCGTGCTCAAATTTAATATGGAGAAATTTCGTAAAATTCGAATATTACAAAAACCTATGGTGGAAACCTCAAAATATGCTGTTTTAGCATGTCTATGGGCTCGATACAATCCCACAAAAATATCAAAGAATTTTCTCAGATCCGCGAATTTTTTAGTTTTTCGACGACCCCCTGGTCATTGATTCTTTCGAGGTCACGAAACTGAACTTTGGAAAAATATTTCTAAAATTGCAGATAGAATTTCGGTGTTTTCTTTGGTTAGTTGTGTGGGACTGACGTCCATCTATCATGTACACAATTTCTAGCTACCGTACCCCTTTGGAAGGTTGCTTTTTAGCGCCTCCAAGACGGTTGGTTCATGCTATTTCGCAGACCTTGGTGCCAGTCTATAAAATTCATTTGCGCGGCTAGAATTACTTTCATAATTTTATTTAATACTACTTAATGGGCGCATTCTAAGATTATATTTACAAATTTATTGGGCCATTCGATCTTTCAAAAGAAATTCATGAAAAGTCCAAATATACCCGAATTCGAGGCGACGTAAAAAAATTCTCGAGGCTCTGGTAGCCTCGACTTTTTTTGGCATAAACTCAGCTTGGGTAGTCAACCAGAACCCATGCAAATGCAAAATCTTTTCATGGCAAACGAATTTAGAAGAGCTCCCCAAAGTCGGCTTTTCAAAAACGTTATTTTCGGGTTTTAAATCAAAATCAACCATTAACTTCAGCCAGATCGTTCCAGAATTTTGCTCTCATGCACAGTTCATGTACGTGCTTTAATTGTATCCACCAAACCCCGGTGCCTTTTTCATTTTCAAAAATTCGATTTTCGAGCCAGGGCGTCAGGTTCAAAATCGGGGTCCGAGGGGGGTTTTCCTCTTTCCTTCATAACTTTGTCATTTGCCACAGGAATCAAGTAATTTTTTGTAGGTGCTCTTACAATCACCCAAAGAACAGTCTAGAATCGAAAAATCGGCATTTTATGGCATTTTGTCTTGGCATGCTAAAACGCGCTCCAGGCGGGTTACTGTAGAAAACAGAAAATCGCCGTTTTCTCGTTCTTTTCACCATAGAAACGTTTCGATCTTTCAGGAAAACAAATAATAGTAGTTTTTAGTCCGATGCATCAAAATATTTAAAAATTTCCGTGGCTAAATTCAAAAATAAGTTTTTTGCATATTTTAAGAAGGTATATGGTTAGAACTTGGCGATTTTTCGCCCATAGGTGACCCTTACTGGTGTTTACCAATGATAAAATTTTAAGCGAAATCGCAGCTTACAATAAAAAGAAAAACGCGATAAACGAAAACTACAGTATCCCTCTGGGGCGCGTTTTAGCAAGCAATATTAAAATACCATAGAACCACGTAAAATTTGGTGTCGTGCTAAAGATTATCATTCGGAGACACCATCTGCAAAAGATCAGCCATGGGCAGCGTATTTGAAGTGAGTTCCAAGTTAAAAAGTAAAAAAGAGGCAAAATACGGAAATTTGATTCGCTTCTAAAAAAATAACTAGACCTTCAAAAGTTTTAAGACTTTGCTGCTACCTTTCTACAAATTTTAACTATTTTTGGGCCAAAAATCAGAATTTTCCCACCACCCGTTCAAGAACGCACAATTTTCGGTCGTAACCAGCGTCAATAGTACAGTTGCGTACTCAAAAATCGAAAAAATCAAGTTGATCTTAATCTCTATTCCTGACATATTTAAGCATTCTGGCATGGTAACGCATGGTGAAATATGTTTCCTTCTCGAGTTATTCGGGGACAAACTCCGGAACAATTTTCTGACCCACCCTGTATTTTAGGAGTTTATTTTTAATTTTTTGCCTTCTTAGGGCTAAACTGGCTGCCAGAAAACCAAATGCAAAAGATTCCGAAGCGCTCCAATGTACGGTTCTCGAGTTACAGTATCCCCGGGTTCGACCCCGGGCGCTTTTAGCGTATCTTTGATCCCCTCTGCCCGTAGCTAGTTTATAGTTTATCATGAAAGTACCTGAATACTTCCCAATTTCGCCTTTCATTTTGTCTGATCGATATTTCAAAATTGCCAGAGTTTCCGCATAAAAACCGTTACGGAAGCAAGATAGGAAAAGTCTTTGTGTTTCTTGCCAACTATTACAGTTACAGTTTACCCCCCCCCCAGCCCTAACTTTTCAGCCATACGTCCTATTAATGCGCCGAGTATCTCAAAATGTTCGCCGTGGTCGAATTACTATAAAAAAGTTGTTTTCTTACATCAAAAATTGTTAGAAAAAATTTTATAAAAACCATAAGTCTGAGTTTTCTTTAGTTAATTTTTGCCGTTCCAAAGTGAGTTTTCGTATCTCGGCTATCTTTTGACGCACAGAGCTGTCAATGGTACCAAAATGTAGCTCTTGCTCTGGAGAATAAGCCTACAGTGCATTTCAGTCGAAAAAATAGCGAAAAATAAAAATATTTGAGTTTTAGACTCCTAGTACATCGAAGCATAGCGGCTTAACCTTTCAACTTTCAAAATCTTGTAAAAAAAATTTTTGCAATTTTTGCCGCAAGAAAACAACTTTTTTATAGTAATTCGACCACGGCGAACATTTTGAGATACTCGGCGCATTAATGGGACGTATGGCTGAAAAGTTGGGGCTGGGGGGGTAAACTGCACTCGAACCCAAATATCATAATGAAATAGTATTAGAATGTTGATGAATGTTTGTGCAAAGCAATCGGCCATTGCCGTCGAACATTGATTTCCTTTTCGATACCGGCACTGTTGAGGATCAATTGAATCTGAAAGTCAGAAGTGTAACTGGGAAATACAGGGTGTCCCGCAAAAAAAAGTACCCCGCTCTAGCGGC